ATGCTTAACTGTAGGGATGGCATTTGTCTGCTGATGAGTGGACCTCTTAATATGATGTTTTCTCACTGTCCCATATAGACCTGATTGATGGTTTGCTTCAGAAATGGTTGTCCCTCTGAGAGCTTCTCCTCTCTCCACAAAGGACAATTAAATATGTGGTCATTGTCCACCTCCATGACTAAGCCCCTTTTGCCCTATCCCTCAGTTTAAAAGGCCAGCATGCTGTAGGAAGTGTCCTCGTAGTTCCACTGTGCTCAATGAGACCTTCAAAGCAGCAGTTTATTTTTCTGTACCCTTCCCCAGATTTGTCTCGGAGACCATAATAAGTCCTCTACAGTAACTATGCTTCAGTGTTTGTGTTCTAACATGCATTGTGAACTGTGGGACCTTACTTTTATATTCAGTTGGACTCTATATAAGCTGTAGAAACATCTAAAGTATCTCAGACTTATTTTATCTTAGCGATAAAACATGTCAATACTTACTTGTGTGACTTCTAATCATAGATATGCTACATTCTTTATAAATGGATTTCACATTGCCAATATAGGGTATTATGTGTAGAATTTTGACTCCATTTGGAACAAAGCTGTTAAATTGTAAATGCAGAAAAAGTGCAGGGCTGTAAATATTTTCTAGATGTCTTTATCCTGATATTAATTTACACATAGTACACACTACTAATTAGTTGACCTGTGGATGCAATTGTTTGGACTTGTTTTTATGTAGGGATATTAGAGTGGATCAGGCAGAATACAAATTACTATCTAATAACATTCCAATAATATACATCAGAGTTTGTGATTATACCCATTTATGTTAAATAATAAGAACAATTTGGTATGAACGTATAATCAGAAGAGTCTGTTAGTGCCATTTTTAGATAGGTGCATGAGTTTAAACATGTGTCAGTGGGCAATAAATCTAGGATCAGAAGGTTTTAAAAGATGATAACAGACATATGAGTACATATTAAAAATAAATCTCTAAATTATCTACAGAGTGAAACTAAAACAAGAGACGGTTCATAGGATTTGGAAAGAATCATAAAAAACAGAGATGTAGTTAGTGTTCCCTTTGTTGGAGGATTTGCCCTTTCTGTCTTGCCCTGACTCTATGACCTGTGAGTCAGAGCCCAGGAATTGAGCATGAAAGCTGCATGGGACCAAAGGAGCACAGGACTCCTGCTGGGGAAAAACAAAAAGAAACCTCCAAAAAACTAGAATACTCACAGATCTGCTCACTGCCAGCAAATGCTTCTGCTTCCCTTCATCTCATCTGTCACCTCACGCTTTTCCAGACATTTCTTGAATGTGGTTATGATTGCAACATTCATGGTATATGAGAGGCTGTGTTGTAGAATCATCAGATCATTTGATCTTGTCATCACCCACAACCAGATGTTTGGTAAGGAATGTCCAAAGCTGGCTCTTTGGAGAAAACATTTAAGTTTTTCAATCGAGAGTATCTGATAGAGCTTTATTGGTTTTGATCAGGGGTAAATAAACTCTGAACCTAGTGGAAGTTTAAAGTTACCAACATCCTTTTAAATGTATTTAGTTGTCATTCTTCTGTCATTTTTACACTCGTCCTCAAAATTTCAGTGCAGTCAGTAAATCCATATGCAGCTCTAATGCCAGACTGAGCTAAAGATAAAGGGAAATATTATCACCATTTCTTTTAAATCACTCCCCTTACGTTTTCTTCATTCATTCTCTCAGTTTATTTGAACTATTTCTTGTGACATCATATTGAGCTAAAATCTCCACTATAAAGTCTTGATTTTGGATTTCCAAAATTGTGTTTTCTTTCTGTTTTGTTATCTGGCTTTTAATCTTGTTTGACAGAACAGGTGCTATATGAATAAATTCCAACAAGATTGCAAACTTCCTTGGAGGGGAATTTTCCAAAAAGATAAACCCCCTCATAGTGATATCATTGAACATAAACATCACATCTTCTACAGTCTTATTAATCACAATCTCTTGACACTTCCTTCTTTAAACATGGTTTTCTTGAAGTTTGATTGGTCCTGTTTGGGTAATTTGTGAAGGAGGGAGAAGAAAAGGAAGGCCACACACCCTAAATATCCACCAACTTGATTGCCATCGACTGTTCTAGTTAAACAGTTAAACTGAAACATCATTAGTTCAACTTTTTTAATCCAACTGTTTTTAATGTTCTTTTTTGTTTCTGCATTTTTATTTTATTTTTTCCTACTTGCTTTGATTCTGTTTTATTTTCCTATATTTTAATCATGTAAAGCACTTTGCATTGTCTTTGTACTGAATTGTGCTATACAAATAAATTTGCCTTACCTTGCCCTGTCTTGCCTTGCCTAAACGTTTTCATTATTTCTTATTAATTCAATTGTATTCAGTTTATAAATAGCAACAACTCACAACGCATGTCGTCTGAATACAGTTCAACAGATTATACAGTCAGATTAGTTAAAAGTTTTCTACCTAAGGAGAACCAGTTGATTGCATCGACTCATTATCCCCATTTACTGTACCCTACCCTTTTGAAATCGTGCTGACAACGGTCCAAACTTGGCCTGGCATGTGTGTCTTTTTAATTCACGGATCTCTTTATCTGTTCACAACATGAACTTCTTCTCAGCCTATTAAGTGCGTGGTGCGACATGGGATGATTCAGAGACCGAGGCTCTCCTTGAAACCTGGGCCGAGGACGCCATCCAGGCACATAAGTTCTTCAATGTTATGGGCGCGCCATTTTTGATTGCGTAATTCCTGCCTTGAGAGCTGTAATATCGTAGACCGGCGATAGGAGGTGAGGAACCATTCTAGTATGTTGTGTAAATGGTTGTATGAACTAAAGTTGGCACAGTTAAATGACCCAAGCTCGGTCCAAACTCGACACGGATCGGTTTCAGAGGGAAAGTGTAAATGGGGCAAAAGAATCTGAAACTATTTCTCAATACAACATTACAGGTAAAAACAAAAGGTATTTTCTAAATAGCATTGGGGTTTGTTACATTTCTCATTTGTAATGTTTTTGCGTGAAATCGACTATATTAAGTGATAACTATGAATTTCCAAAATCCTGTTTTTTAAGGTGACCTTATTCTCCTTTGTACAACATACATTAAATTAACTTCAAATTCAGTTCAAAAATACTTTATTGATCCCAAAAGGAAATTCAATGTTTTAACTTAAAAAACGTTATTATTATAAATCTTGATAGCTATAAGCAGGAATGATCTTCTGTAGTGTTCTGTCTTGCATTGCACTCCAATTTTAAAATTGAACAATGCTTAGTTTGTTATTTTGTATTTCAATGAGGGAGTGCAACTCTATAACGGAGCAAGTCCAGCTGTTCACCAAGAACATCAATGACAGGCCTCTTTATGGAGTAATGTCCAGTCTAATAAGCCCAACAGTTTGAGTTCCAAACTAGTCATTCTGTCATACTTTCCACTTAAGTCTGTTTTTGTTTGACACTTTAGACACTTCATATCTTTCAGTGCTACAGTGTCTTTCAGTAGGATGTTTGTGTGGTAACCACTGCAACCAAACAAACCAGGGAAAAATAAAGGCTTTCTGCTTCTGAATCATGGAGGTCTTGATGGAAGGGCGGGAGTACTTCCTACGCACTTCCAGAGCCGTTGGTCATCCAGCAGACACTCGGCGCCTCATAAGAGTCTCCTTGATAGCAACACCTCCGTATCTCATATCTGAAGCATTGCCTCAGCCTGACCAATGCTGTGCCAACTTGAAACCCAATGATCTCAGCCCTTTGGACATCGTGGGGGTTAGCAGCTGCATGCACACAGTCACCTATAGTCATCCCTTGTGTCTCTGATGATACAAAGTTATGTGAATACTCACACACAGGCTCTTCTTTAGCAGTCTCCTAGCGTTACCCCTTAGCTGCCTGTTTTCCCTTTTTAACATTAGACACTATGGGAACACAAATCCAGATGAACACAAGAATCTCTCCTCAATCTTCTCTGTGACATTTACATGTTGATTGTTTGTGAACTTGAACTGCAAGAGAGCTCTGAGAGAATTGCAATGTTATATCTGGCAAGTGTGACACATTCTTTGGTTTTGCTGAAGCATTTCTCTCAATGTTTTCTCAAGAAAAAGGTTAATAATGTGATCGCCTGTTTATATGTATGCAGTGGGCTAATTGAGAAATCCAATAAATAATGTATTTTACCCCAACTATCATTCAGTAAGTTCTTCAGTTTTTTTGCAAGCGTATAGTGGGGCGAATAAGGGGAGTGAGTGGCAGCCTAGTGGTTAGGGCATAGAGTTTGGAATCCTGAGGTTGTGAGTTTGAAACCCACTCCCACAGACTGCCACTCTGGGTCTCTGAGCAAGACCCTTAACCCCTGATTACTCCCTGGGCACCCCATGATGGTAGCCGACTGCTCCCCAAGGGGATGAGTTAAATGCAGAGGTACATTTTTCCAATGTGAGATCAATAAAATTATATTATTATCCAGGAGTCAATTATTTTAAATACAAACTGAAGAGTGACCGTTCATAGCAGTAATCCAGTTATCTCTGTTTCGACACAATAATAGTGATAAGAATCCTTGGCTCATAAATTTTAAGACTACAATTCCATCATGCACAAGTTTTTAGATCTTCCTCAATATGGCTTCTTATTGCACAAGTTTTTTTTTTTTTGCCCATGCAATTTACTGTAGCACTTCTTGTTTGGATTCTTTGAAGACAAGGCCCTATCCTTTGATTCACTTATTTATTCATTTATTTTTTTTCCTGGCTCACTTAGGCTTAAAGAATAAAAAAAATACAGGGTCTACTTTACTTTTTCTTTGTTGCTTCTCAGTACTTCACACTCTTCCAAGGGTGATTAAAGAAACATATTGCATGCAGAAAGAAGGTAGTCAGCCAAAAACAAAATAATCCATGCATCTCAGCAGAAATTTTAACCAGCTTCAGCACTAAGGTGTACATTGGCACAGGATCTCTTTAACATTATCTCTCATGCGGATTATCTTACAGATCGGGATCCGGAGATCGAGTGTGGTCGCCTACAGTCAGCGAAGATGGCAAGATAAGTCCTTACGCAGAGCCTGACGCACAGGTAGCCACCGTCTTACCTGGATTTAAAAAAAAATAATAATAAAGGCAGAATATATATATTTTTTTTTATTAAAGTTGCATTCTCAAAAGCAAGCAGATAAAATCTCCCTCACTTTCTCAATGCAGAGTTTCACTGCAATCAGACCTTAGTTGGAAACTACTCTTAACATGTCAGACCAGACACTGTTAAATAGAAGAAATTATTCAGAAAATGTATTCATATAGTGTTGCCTGGTTTATGGCACTATAAATAAGGTGTGTTTTTTATTACTTAATAGCAAGTCTTAAATCTAATTTAAACTTAACCTGGGTTATGCTCTGAAATAAGCAGCCAGACGTAGTGTCTTTTATGGCGTTTCACCTCTTCCAAAAGAGAAGGTAAGTCTTGGGCCATAACTGCGACCTTTACTACTTGGTAGCTGAGCGGTTCCAGTTTGTTTTGACAACAAACAGAATCCATGGAAACGGGTGCAGAACCTGATCCACAAGCTGCATGTACACTGTCATTAACTCGCTTATAAATAAGAGAATGCATCCCACTGTTCGCTGGAATGATGTTGAAATAGGGTCTCGATTGTTCTCCAAATGATCTGCTGCCAAAAGGATTTTCACAGCATGAGGAACTCCACCAAATGATCTTTTTCCAATTTTTTTCCCCCCACAATTTCTGGCACGCGGGCTCATTTCTGAGCACATAGACAGTTAGAGATGTGTTTTGTGCATACATATGTTGTGAGTGAGTAGCTTGTAGGATTATAGACAATGAGGCCATTATGTGTTCATTTTAAAGATATCATGATCACTTCTGTAGAGTTGGGTAGTTCTTTTTACATTATATAATATAACGTTTACAGTTGCCTTTACACTGCAAATTGGTGCTTTTATAAAGGTTAGTTAAGTGCGATCGTCATGAAAAAAAGCAGCATTAACAAAATCATCATTTCATCGTCAACAAAAATAACACTGATCACTACATCCATCGAGAGCTGCACTCACATAAACTCTGCTCTCTAAATAAATGTTTGCACTGAGAAATATGTGTCTTCAAAGTAAATATAACAGAGTTGTTATAACAGAGCCTATGAGAGTTTTTGTAGCAGATTTCTAATCTTTGATTAGTTCTGGGTTGCAACAACTGATTTTGCACTGCAAAAACAATCCAGAAATAAGTAAAAAATGGCTTAAATTAAGTATATTTAGCCTTAATTTGAGCAGGTAAATAAGATGATTTGCCAATGGAATGAGTATTTTCACTCTTAAAATAAGATAGTTAGATAATATTTACTTGAAATAAGACGATAAAATAGTTTTTTCTTATTTTAAAAGGAAATTGTCTTGTTCCATTGGCAAAGTGTCTTACTTATCTCCTCAAATCAAGGAAAAACACACTTATTTTAAGAAAAAATAACTTATTGAGATTTATATTTTTTGCAGTGTGGACAATGCTGATTATCTGAAAAACTTTTTTGATAATATTCAAAATCTTGAAATTCAATAAAAACAAACTAATAATATAAAATTATAACAATATAATAATATTTTTTTACAATACAATGTTTTAGAGCCCCTCAAGAGATTAATGACCTGTCCAGGGTGTATCCTGCCTTTTTCCCATGAATTGCTAGAGATAGGCACCAGCCCCACCATTACCTGTGGATAAGTGGCAGTGGATGGATGAATGGGATATTTTAAAGATATTTATAAAAAAATAATCCTTTGTCTATTCTGCAAAATCCCAAGGATATAAATTCAGGAGGTTAATAAATACATTTGTAAGTTAGACCAAAGACAGCATCGTGATAGACTTGAGGTTTAGTCTGTAAAGTATTTTATATTCAATTAAGGAAAAACCTTCAAAGCCCTTAATAGCTATGGGGGCTAGAGGTGATCAGCTGTCACTTGGAACAATGTCTCCTTCAGCAGTTGTCCCTGTCCCCACCTCAGTGTTACTTCTGTTGCTTAGGAACAGGTAAAGCATGGGGCATAGACCTATGCAGTAAATCCAAATGGAACCCTTTTTTAATGTCCTTTATCCTGATGTATATCAGGATACTGTTGAGCAGCACATATATTGCCTAACAAAAAGTCCTTGAAGGTCTTATGCATTCCAGTTCATCCCCTTTACTTTATGATCCATTCTTTAGAGCATAATGGAAACTCCAAGCATTTCCTGCAAAAATAAAAGATAACCAGCATCCCTAAGACAAAGTCTGCATAATTGAAGGTGCTAGTTTAACTTGCAGAAGCTAAAAGTAAATACCAGACCAAAGTGAGGCAGACCATCAGTATGAGTTTATACAAACACAGACAAGCATGACAAAAGTGCTTTGCCTGGTGGTAACATGAGAGAAACAAATCCTTCCTCCTTCCTGGCCTTGCACATTTCCTTTCTCTGTATCTCTGTTACATCTCATCCTTTCCTTCCTTTCTCCAAACTTTAATAATGCTTTCTGGCATCTCATTTTATAACATGAACCTGAACAGCTGGAAACAACCAAGTCAGGGCCACTCTAATGTCACACTCAGGTGGAATCTATGTAGCATGCACTGAGGAAACATCCGTTCCCCCTGGTCACTTAAAAGTCCAGAGCTCTCTTTTTTTGTTTCCTGCTGTATTTCGATACAGCCTTAACTCATCACAATGCCGATTGTTCCTGAGCTTCAGTGAAAATAATATACTCATTGTGACCTCCTTACACTGACTGACTATAGCATTATGCCATGTAATGCATTTGGCTCCGATTGTTTTGCAGTGATGAGTCAGTCTAGAGATGATGTACAAGGATTAACTGATGAACATGACAGTACAGTCAAATATTAAGTTTCAAACACTTGGATTCAATACTTGACTGTAAAGATCTGGCTTTATGTGAAGCCAATGACATTCTGTTAGTTGACAACATCCAAAAGTAGAAAACGTCCCAGATCAACAGGTCCGTCTTACTCTTTGTTTAAAATGTCCACTTTCATATTTGAATACTCTTGGAAATTCCAGTCTGACTTATGGGAACTTGCTCCCGAACAGGAAGTGACACATGGAAGCTGTGAGGTGTTTTCCTTCACCTTGGGATCCCGGGACATTCTCATAAAGTTTTAGAGGAAATGCTGTAATTTTTGGCTACTAACCAAACTAAAGTATGACTACTGTACTTATATGAAACAATGAGTTTCTTTTTTGAGGAACTGTGCTCATGCTTTGGCAAGAATAAACACAGGCTACCGGATGTCATACATAACTTCTTAAATTGAAAATGACTTTGATGAAGATGGATAGCAGGGGTGAGATAATGCTAAGGGTTTCATAGATAGACCATCATAAATGGCTTCTGTCATTGTGACAGTAAGATTTATGGTATATTTCTCTGTTTTGTTGGGTTTTTTTATCTTGTTAAACTTTGGTGTTTTAAGAAAGATCATCTTTGGCACTTCTTTTTAAAAAGGCTCCTTTTTAGTCCTCTTTTCTACCTTTATTTGTTTTGGATAAACATGAACCTAAATTACATTTTCATCAAGTAGCCAACTTATCATGCCTGACCCCGTAGTTCATAGGAGGTCTCATGACTGTTTTCTGTATGATAAAAAAAAGCTTTATTGAAATTTTAAAGTTATTGTAAAACCCAATAATGATTTGTTCATCAGCATAGTATGGCTCATTACTTTGTTTTAATAAACTAATTTCATAGCAAGGGAGACTTTGTTCTCTCCTTTGTTCTTGTTTCGCTAAGAGTGAGTAAATAGGTTTAGTCGGGAAAGGTAGAATCTCCCGAGTTGTTACCAGTCAATTAGTCATATGCATTTCCTCAAACAAGATGTGAGTTTGTCCTGAAGTGCCTTGCTTTTGGACTTTTACCAGGAAATATGTTTAATTTTTTGTAGGTTTAGGCTTCCTAAACCATATCAACTGACTTTCTATCATATGAAAATGCAGTGGATCGAGTCTTAGCACCTTACAGATGACAATAAGTTCACCCTCCCCCTGCAAAGTACAGTAGAGCATATTTCAGCATCTTAAATCTGGGATTCTGATAGTTTTATTTATATTTCATAGTGCACCACTTTTCCTCCTAAAATATTTTATCACTACTGTTAATTTGAATCACTCTTGATTCCTTTTTTTTTCATTCATTGAGCTAGATGCTTAAGCATGTAACCAAATGTTGAAAAACACTGGCAGCTTTCTTAAATTTACAGGTATATTAAAAGATAGATAGATAGATAGATAGATAGATAGATAGATAGATAGACTCTGAAAAACAAAAGTGTTTCACCTAATAACAGGTTTTTATAATGTGGTTGTCATCTTTTTCCTTGGACCATTTTCATGCATCACTTCAGTTATTCTACTGTATCAGTTACTCATATTTGAAAACTTCTGGACTGAAGTTATAAAGTGGCAGCTTCAAGTAAGTGGGAAATTCCTGCTGTCAGTGTTTGAGTCAAGCAACAGTTCTTTTGGCTTGCAGTTTCTTAGTGTCATTGATGGCTGCTAACCTATCATTATACTGTTAGGTGTTGTGGTCCAGAACTATTTTCCTGTGGAAAAAATGGGGCTTCAGAATGAGGAAGCTGAGAAGTCTGGATCGCACGTCATTTGAAGCTTCCCGTATCAGCCCAGGGGTTGGCAGCTAAAAGCAAAAGCAAATTCTTCAAGTTAACAGTAATATGAGCTGACAGATGCACTCCTTTTTATGAATTACAGGCCATAATTCCTGCTCTGCTTGAAACTGAATAATACTTTTAGAACAAAATTGTGCATATAAAACACTTCTTTATAAATGGAACAATGCCTTTTTTATAGTATGTGTTGCTTAAGAAAGAGTTGCTTAGAGGTATTTTTTCAGGGGAAATAAAGCAAGCAAGCTTTTTAACCACATCAAGTTGATGTTTAGTATGCCAAGTAGTTCATTTATTTAAATAAAAAATTTCTTGGATTTCACATTGGCAAGCTTGAGTGTCCATCTGAACGTGTTTGTGTTCACTCACTAGCCAGTAATCCTCTGA